GGCAGAACTTGGTGGGCTGGCTTTTTTTTTTTAATCTGCTAGAACATGCCACTTTTCCTCATGAGAACACTGATTTGGGTAACTGAGTCATATGTCACTCTTCATATGTCACCATGTCCTCCCTTTCAGGAACCCAAGCTTCATTGCTCAGGGTGACTCGGACTCCGAGTGGTGGGAACAAGGTTTGCATCCAGCTTTTTTTTGATTGCCTCCACTTTTCCAGACCCCTCTGCGTCCCTGGGAGAGCAGGGTTTTGCCTAAGGGCGAGTGAGAGACATACAGAGACAGAGGTGTGTTCATTTCCCATGTGTTAAAGGAAAAACTTACAGGCTGGGAGCTACCCACCAAGAAGCAAATGGATGGCAGGAAAGAAGTCCAGAAAAAAAGAAGATTCCAGCAGGGCTCGGTGGCTCAGCCTGTAATCCCACGCCTTTGGGAGGCTGAGGTGAGTGGATTGTCTGAGCCCGCGGGTTCGAGACCCGCCTGGGCAGCGAGACCTCATCTCTACAATAAATCAAAAAATCAGCCGGGCGTGGTAGCACATGCCTGTAATTCTGGCTACTTGGAAGGCTGAGGCGGAAGGATCGCCGGAGCTCAGCAGGCGAGGCTGCGGTGGCCGGGAGCGGCCACTGCACTCCAGTCTGGGCGACAGAGTGAGACTCCAACTCAAAAAAAAAAGAAGATTCCAGGAGAGAAAGCTTGAGTGGACGGAACCAGTCAAGGACTGAAAACACAGCAAAAGACAGTATATAATATACACCTATCTAAGAACTGACCGGGCATGGTGGCTCACACCTGTAATCCCAGCACTTGAGGAGGCCCAGGTGGGAGATGTGCCCGATCCAAAGGTTTGAGACCAGCCTAGGCAACATGGCTAGACCTCGTCTCTACAACAAATAAAAAAATTAGCCAGGTGTGGTGGGGCATCCCTGTAGTTCCAGCTACTTGGAAGGCTGAAGTGGGAGGATCGCCTGAGCCCAGCAGTTTGAGGCTGCAGTGGCCATGAGCATGCCACTGCATTCCAGCTTGGGCGACAGAGTGAGACTCTGACTCAAAAAAAAAAAAAAGAAAGAAAGAAAAAAGACTTGAGGGTGAGCGCCCAAGACTTATGAGGCACTATCTGAAGAAAAATCAATCAATCAACACAGCAGACAAAAATCCAAAATGCAAAAATAAACAAAAAATAATTCCTTATTCAGAAAATGAGCTTAAGGACTGATATTGGTAATTACAGTCAATTTAATAACTTTTCAGGGCATTAACTTACATTATCTAGATAAGATTAAAATGTCTGCCAAAATTCTGTGTTTTATTTGGAGAGCTTTTTTCAAAAGTAGTGCTGAGCCGGGTTTGATGGCTCACGCCTGTAATCCCAACAGTTTGGGAGGCCAAGATGGGAGGATTGCTTGAGTCCAGGGGTTCAAGAACAGCCTGGGCAACACAACGAGTCCTTGTCTCTACAAAAAAATCAAAAAATTAGCTGAATATGCTGGCACATGGTCCCAACTGGAGGCTGAGGCAGAAGGATTGCCTGAGTTCAGGAGGTCAAGGTTGTGGTGAGCTGTGATCCAGCCTGGGCACCAGAATGTGACCCCAAGTCAAAAAAAAAAATTAATGCTGCCAAAGGAAGTCTGAGGAATTGGTGATGTTCCAACACCTGTCTGGTCTCGCCAAGTTGCCCTAACAGCTTGAAGTTTCTTGGACTGTAAATCCATCATTTTTTGTTGGACTTATTTTAACGGTTAAATTATATATTTAGAAATGGTTGTTTTCTTTGGGAGGCCAAGGCTAGTGGATTGCCTGAACTCAGGGGTTTGAGACCAGCCTGGGCAACTTAGGGAGACCTCATCTCTACAAAAAATAAAAAAAATTAGCCAAGTGTGGTGGCATGTGCCTGTAGTTCCAGCTACTTGAAAGGCTGAGGCGGAAGGATCGCCTGAGCCCAGCAAGTTGAGGCTGTGGTGGCCATGAGCACGCCAACTGCACTCCAGCCCGGGCGACAGAGTGAGATTCTAACTCAAAAAAAAAAAAAAGAAAGAAAAAAGACTTGAGATTCTAACTCAAAAAAAATAAATAAATAAGTGATCGCTGTTGTTTACGAACTTGAAATTTTCCTGTGATCCCAGCACTTTGGGAAGCCAAGGCAGGAAAATCACCTGAGTCCAGGAATTTGATACTAGCCTGGTCAACATAGCAAGACGCTCTCTCTGTTAAAAAAATGTGCTTTTGTTTCTTTTTCCTGATATAAATATATTCATCTCAGCTCTCTATTGGTTAGTATTTTAATGCATCTCTTTTTCTTTTAAAAAAAAATCTCATCTTTGTGTTTCTTGTCAATAGCATATAGCTGGATTTTATTTAGCCAAAACTCTTCTTTAACTGTTCATATGAAACCTTTTTCATTTGTTTTGATTATTTACATATTTGGATTTCTTCTTACTAATTTATGTTTTATTTGTCAAGTTTTCTGTATATTGCTCATTTCTTGTTTTTAGTTTTGTTTTTTTTTTTTTTAGTTGGAGTCTCACTCTGTCGCCCCGACTGGAGTGCAGTGGCCGCTCCCGGCCACCGCAGCCTCGACCTGCTGGGCTCCGGCGATCCTTCCGCCTCAGCCTTCCAAGTAGCCGGAATTACAGGCGCGCGCTACTACGCCCGGCTGATTTTTGATTTATTGTAGAGATGAGGTCTCGTCAAGTTGCCCAGGCGGGTCTCGAGCCCATGGGCTCAGGCAATCCATTCACCTCAACCTCCCAAAGGCGTGGGATTACAGGCTGAGCCACCGAGCCCGGCGTTTGTTTTTTTTTTTTGAATGGATTTCTGTTCATTTTCTTATTACTGCATTTTTTCACATGTGTAGAAACTTGTAAACTCCACTTCTATTCTTTTGGTAAACATCTTTAAATTTTAAGTTTAACTCTACAAAATCTAGAACTAAACAATATCGTTTTCTTTTGAGTCAGAATCCCACTGTGTCACCCAGGCTGGAGCCTCGACCAGCTGGGCTCAGCCGATTCCTCCACCTCAGCTTTCTGAGTAACTGGAACTACAGGCGTGTGCCACCACGCCTGGCTAATTTTTAAAATTTATTATAGAGACAAGGTCTCGCCAAGTTGCACAGGCTGGTCTTGAACCCAGGCTCAGACAGTCCTCTCACCTCCACCTCCCCAAGTGCTGGGATTACAGGTGTTAGCCACTGCGCTGGCTAGAACGAAACAATATGTTAATTCCCTTTTCAATCAAGGACCTCAGAATGCTTCAGTGCTCATCAACCTCCTGCCAGATTACATTCTTTCCCTTTTTTATCCCAGTTTGTACGACTTGTTTGGGTATGTGAGCAATGCTTGTTTAGATTTACCGGGTTATTTATCATTTTATTGGGTCACCATTCATCCTGGCATCTCAGACCAGACTTAAGGCATCAGATACCTTCTTCCTAGTCTATGTCTCCTTCAGAAATTGCTTTGGTGAAAGGCTGTTGATTTTTTGTTTTTTTTTTTTTGAGTTGGGGTCTCACTCAGTCGCCCAGACTGGAGTGCGG